GACGCGGTTTAGTCGGACGCGGTTTAGTCGGACGCGGTTTTGTGGTGGAATCGTGAGGTTAAAACCAATTTCGTTGTATTTAAGTACAATGACAATAAGGATTATACTTATGCTTCCCCCCACCTCCCTTGCAACATGGCATAAATTAATACAACAATGGATGAAGACCAACGGTTACTCCGCCATACTCAACGGTGAGAAGGAATAGTTTTCTGCAGTGCAAGAGGTTGCACTCGTAGCCTGCGCTGCTAATGAGCTACAGAAGAAAACCCAGGCTAGTATTTGGCTAGATTCTGGATTGTTCTTTGGGAGAAAAGAAGCCCTGTCACCTGCCGTCGTACTACCTAACACCGTGATGACGATCCTATGGCATGCGTGCCCGAAGTGACACGTGAAGTCATGCTGCCTGGCATGCAGGGCCTTGCCTGTTTGTCTTCCATATTTCTGGCGTGCATGCAGCTGTCCTTCACGCGAGCGGCAGTGCTGAAAACCGGTGTGCGCATGCGCACCTGCCAGCTGATCGTCGGGCGCGCATGCACACTGGAACCCGGAAGTTCAGCTTTTCCGGAGTGCGACCCCGATGAGCATGCACGCGACATTTCCACGGGACCTTTTCGTCACTCAGTGCCAAAAAGCTTCGCCATCACTGACCTAACATGAACATGGATGATACAACCGGTTCGGTTTCTGTATTCACCTTGTACGGCACTGCCTCCTTCTGGCTCATCAGCTGAGACCTCAGGATGAGAACTTCCTCCTTGCGGACCTCCAGCTCTTCACTGACGGAGGTCATCTGGTCCAAAAGGACCCTGTATGCTGGGGCGCCAGGCATCGTGACATCTGGAGCACTCTTTTCCATCAAGGCCTTCCTCAACTCGTTCAATTCGTTCTTTAGTTTCTTATTCTCCGACTCCAGCTCTTGGCGCTGCAGGGTACAAGATGGGAGGAAACAATAAAAACAGTTGTCCTCATTCACCAACGGTTCTAATGGAAATCAAGATCAAGGTAAAGAAGCCCATTTCATTTACTGATGGGTTTGATTTAAAAAGTCCTGATCTTCGTATATTTCACAAACAAAGGTCTACTTTGAACCCTGTGCTTTTTAATTTTGTTTATGTACCCTGAGAGCATCTGCACCAAAGACAAATTCCTTGTGTGTCCAACCACACTTGGCCAATAAAGAATTCTATTCTATTCTATTCTATTCTATTCTATTCTATTCTAATGATTCTTGATGAATGCATTCTATTTTATTTTTCTTTATGTACACTGAGAGCTTATGCACCAAAGACAAATTCCTTGTGTGTCCAATCACACTTGGCCAATTCTATTCTATTCCATTCCATTCCATTCCAACATGTCTAGAATGGAAAAGTAGTCTAGAAATGTTGGTACTTCCAGATCCACTGATGGATCACAAATTCCAGGTAATTTTGTGAGTGAGCCTCAGGCTAATAATTAAAATACTCAAATCATTACTGGCTTCCATATATGCTTGTATGATAGCATGTATATGAAGCATTGGGGCATTTTAAAAATGTTCAGGTAATATCATTTAAATCTGTTTTTCTAATTTAGCCTATTTCGGGGGGTAATGCATAGGATTCAGGGATCCCAAATACAATACTTTTCACAACCTTAAGCGATTCGTATTCCAGCTCTGCTCCTCTCATCTGAGGCCTTTCTTCCTCCTGGAAAAATTCAAAGCGGAAAGAAAAATAATTGCACTTTTAGAAAGAGAACATTTCAGACACCATCGAGAAGAAATGGATAGTTCTGTGAAGTCCCTGTATTCATTTTTAGACAATTAGTAATGTTTATTTGATGTTTAAAGGCTTTAAGAATGGACTAAATTCCACAGCCAAGCCAAGAGAGAAAGGTGAGTGATTTTCAAAAGATTACAATTACTAAAAACATCCTTGGTAGCTCTGCAGACTGTATCAACAACATTAAGAAAACAGGTAAAAACTAGTTTAAAAAAAATCTTTTAAAGTTTGTAAAGTCATGAGGCAAAATGCCATCAGAAAAAAAATAACAACATTCTGCCTTGCTTCTAACATCAATGGATCAAACCAACAAAAATTAAAGAGGGGAGAACTGCAAGGAAGCACCAATTGTGTTTTGTGTGTTCCTTAGTTACTTTGGGGGATTTTGAGGTGTCTTCGGTGCTCTCTGTACTTGGCTGTTCTCTTTTATTTCGGAATTCTCCCCTGGAGGGAATCATGGATCTACCTTCCACCTGCTGAATGGAATATCACTGCTGCCATGGGATCCCAACTAGGGGTGGGATTCTACCAGTTCAGACCAGTTCACCTGAACCGGTAGCTCTGACGATCAGCTGGGAGCGAACCGCTTCGCTCCCATGTTCCAGTGGGCCTGCCCACCCCACCCCACCCCCTGCGCTTTACTGATCTACCATATTTTTCACACTATAAGACGCACCATGTTTCTCAAGAGGTAAATTTTTAAAAAAGGTTTTTGCACTCTGCAGGCCTCCCAAACCCTCTGCACACCTTTTTTTCCAAAAAAAAAGGGGGGGGCATGCAGATCTTTGGGAGGTTTGTAGAGTGCTCCTGGGGGCTGGGGGGGCAAAAACATCCCGTTTTTCACTCGATTTTGCCCTCCACAACCCCCAGGAGCACTTTGCAAGCCTCCCAACCCCTCTGCACGTCCATTTTTGCAG